CCCCTGTGTTACTACTGTCCACACTTGCTTCTTTGTGCGATATTCGTACACCCCTGCGCGCGAGTAAGCTACGTCGCTCTAAAGGGCCGCCCTCCACCCCCGCTCTTCGAACAGACGGAACAAACATTCCCTCTTCATCCAAGGATCCGTCCTCGAGTACGTGCCCCCGAAGCCCCCCACGTTCCAACATCCCACCCGAACTCGGGGCGCCTTGGTAGGTTTCGGTGTACGGCCAGTCTTCCGCGCTCGGCACAGGATAGCCCTCCGTCTGCTTCCTGGGGGTTTCCGCCCCCCCCATATCAGGCCGGAAGCACGACGCCCTCCATTGCGTCGTTTTCGTGGTACCTCCCCCCTTGCCCCCCCGGTCCCCCCGTCCACCTCCATGGACCGCGGAACGCCAGAACACCAAATCGAAGTCGAAGGCACAAGCCGACGCGCAAGGCCCGGGAGGGGCTGCGTTGGATCCGCGACAACGTCAGAACCCCCGCCCGCAGACGAAGTACGCCAGCCCCCGGTGATCAGGCGGCGGCTGGCCTCACCCTGCCAGACGTACTGGGGAGGACCCACAAAGGGATCCAACCGCCCCCGCAGTGCCTTGGCAGCGAGCTGTGCCCCCCCGCCCCGCGCGGGTTCGAGCCGACACGTAGCGGTGTGGAGAAATAAAGATGTCAGGAGCGAGGCGTGTCCTACTGAGAACGAGGTTCCCCTCCCGCAAACCAGCGCAAGGCAACACGGGGCGACGTGAAGGGTCACCCGAGCCGAGGGCACCCGGGCGCCCCCCCGCCCTTGGGTTGGCCGACTCCGGGGTGCACACCCCGGGCCCAGGATGCGCGCACACGCAGGCCCCCTCGGACACCCCCAAGTCGTTGCCCCCGACCCAGCCGAGCGGCTTGGGCACATGTGGGTCTGTGATGGCGCAAACCGACGAGCGCGCAATGAACCAAGCGCAACATGAGGAGGGAAACCCCCTCAAATGGGCGCGGATCCATACTCAGCGTAACGCTGGAGCGCCGTCAAACCTCCCATCCGACTCTGCGGTCTATGGACGTGCCGGTGTGGCTGGCGGACCACACCCGACACCGCGGCCCAGGGAGTGGGGCGTAGGCCGGCGAGGACTACAGGCGCCGCCCCCATTTCACCCCGCGAACAATGTCTTTGAGCCTTTGCAACCGTCAACATCGCATCTCATCACACGCCACACACCACGCGCCACCGCCCGCCCCCCACCCCAATCGGTTCAACCTTGAGCGCCAGAGCTGTCGTCGCGGGCAGGCGGCTCTCTCGCAGTCTTCGCGGGCCGGCGGCTCTCTCGCAGTCTTCGCGGGCAGGCTTCTTCACTCTGGCAGGCTTCTTCCGCGGGCAGGGTGATCTCTCTCCAACCTGAGGCGTAGCAGTCGCCCCGTCTTCTCACATCCGATGTCCCTCCGTCCCTGTCCCTATCCTCCACGCACACGATCCTACACATACACACCCACACACACACAAACACCACACCACATCATCATTTGAGACGCAAAATCATCCATCATCCAAATGGCCACAGTCGCGGCATTGCCACGCGGATACATGGTGTTGCCTGTGTGCACCAATCGGGATCTCCTTTGGCCTGCGGGACTGGAAGGGCAGACCTGAGTAGACGCAGCGGGCGCGAACCCTTCGGGCAGCGGTGCAGATCCCCATCCCCGAGAGAGGGGAGGGAAGGGAAGGGGAGGGAAGGGGAGGGAAGGGGAGGGGAGGGAAGGGAAGGGGAGGGAGGGGGGAGGGGAGGGAAGGGGAGGGGAGGGGAGGGAAGGGGAGGGGAGGGGAGGGGGAGCGGGCACGGGAGGGAAAGCAAGACAGGCAGGGAGAAGAGGAGGAGGGTAGGGATCTGGACCGCCCACCCTGCCCCACAAGAGAAAAACAAAAGGCTCCTGCAATCCACGGTGCCACCCCGAGGAGCCCCAAGACGGCCCAAGAGGGACCCTCCGTAGCCACGTTGGCTCAAGGCGAGGTCCCTCGTTTCGATAGGTTGACCTGCTGTGCGTTGGATTTTCCCGGCCAGCGTATTCTTCCAAGTATGAATACGTTCGTGGCCGTGGTTTGGGTTTCGTTTTCTCTTCGCTGCCATTGTACCCCTGCACCGAGTGGCCTCCTTACCGACTTCCAAAAGCAGCCAGCTCTCGGTGTCGGGGCCACCCCTCGCTTTACGTGGATCGTAAACCCATGCGGGGATGTGGCCGAGCAGCGTCAGACAGCGTATCAGATCGTCGTCTCTGGAGACAATGGCGAGAACATGTGGGACAGCGGCAAAGTGACCAGTAGTGACAGTACCAGCGTCAGTTACGGAGGTCGAAATTTGACGGCAGGTTCTCAGTACAAGTGGACCGTATCCATTTGGACGGCCGCGCCAAGCGGCAAAGAGTTCCAGTGCGCGGCTTCCCTTCCAGGGAAGTTTGTGACCTCGCTCTTCGATGGCTGGCACAGTTCCGCCAAATTCTTGACGCTTCGCGTATCCCCACCAGCCCATCTCACAGCAGCAACTCTCGCGAAGCATGCCGACAGTCGTGTTTTTCAGGCGTGTGTCCGCTTGGCCCCGCATATCTCCCCTGTTCCTCCTTCCTCCCGCCTCCTTGTACATCCTCCTTGTGAGGGGAGCGGGAGAAGGACGAGGCGGAGGAGGAGGGAGAGAAAGCGCTCCTCGTGATTTGAGTCGTTTGGGGTTTCTCGTCCTGGTGTGAGTCGTTCGGGCCCTTCTTCCTGGTGTGAGTCGTTCGGGCTCTTCGTGGTGTGAGTCGTTCGGGCTCTTCGTCCTGGTGTGAGTCGTTCGGGCTTCTCGTGGTGTGAGTTGTTCGGGCCCCTCATCCTGGTGTGAGTCGTTCGGGCCCCTCCTCCTGGTGTGACTCGTTCGGGCTCCTCGTGGTGTGAGTCGTTCGGGGCCCGCGTCGTGGTGTGAGTCCTTCGGGCTCCTCGTGGTGTGAGTCGTTCGGGCGCCTCGTCCTGGTGTGAGTCGTTCGGGCCCCTCCTTGTGGTGTGAGTCGTTCGGGCTCTTCGTGGTGTGAGTCGTTCGGGCCCCTCGTCCTGATGTGAGTCGTTCGGGCTCCTCGTGGGGCCTCTTGGGGGCCTCTTGGAGCCTCGTGGGGCCTCTTGGGGGCCTCTTGGGGGCCTCTTGGGGGCCTCTTGGGGGCCTCTTGGGGCCTCTTGGGGGCCTCTTGGGGGCCTCTTGGGGGCCTCTTGGGGCCTCGTGGGGCCTCTTGGGGGCCTCTTGGGGGCCTCTTGGGGGCCTCTTGGGGCCGCTTGGGGGCCTCTGGGGGGCCTCTTGGAGGCCTCTTGGGAGCCTCCTGGGGGCCTCTTGGGGCCATCTTGGGGCCTCTTGCGACCTCCGCAGAAGCGCAAAGGAGAGCTGCCCCCTGAGAAGGACAAAATGAGCCCAAAACCTTCGTAAAATCAATGATTTTGCTATGAGGGAAGATGAGCGCGGCCCCCTCAGAAGGCCAAAATGGGGCCAAAACCCTCGTAAAATCAATGTTTTTGGCTTCAAAGACGAGCTGAGGCGCCAAACTGCCCCCCCCCCCCCGGGCCAGAATCCTCGTGAGGGTCGTCGTTTTTTGGCCCTCCGAGGAGTCGAAATGGACCCCCTTGACACCACTCGGAACTCCCTCTCCAGGTCCAGGGGGAGGGGGTAGGGGGAGGGGTAAACCCCTCCCCGAAGGGGAAGAAGGGGGGTTGAGAACAGAGAGGGCTCCCTAAACCACTCACGCCCAAAGGGCTGGTGGGATTCATCGGCCTCGTTTCAAGCGCGACCTTCGGCTACTTTCGCAAAGAAGTCGACATTTCAGCGGACGTGGTGAGCGCCTCTGCATTCGTCACTGCGGCAGTGGATGATGCTCTCCTCTCTGGCTACAAGCTCTACATCGACGCAGCCTTTGTTAACCTTGGCCCTGGCAGGGGCGAGGCCACAGTGCGGGACGGCGATGGCACGTACCGGAACCTTCCCTACACAACTCTGGATGTGACCAGCCATTTCACCACACCCGGGAAGCACGTGCTAGCACTGCAGACGATGCACAAGCCGCCATCGGTGATCCTGCAGATTAACTTGCGACTGAGGTCTGGTACGACGAGGGTTCTGTTTACGGACGGGACTTGGCAGGCCTTCAATGGAGATGCACATCGCAAGCCCGCTGCACCGCAGCATGGCCGCTCGGCAGGCACAGGTTTCTTGGAGTACATCGATGCCCGTGCAGAGCCTGTGGGCTGGACTTCGCCCGGTTTCAAGGCTGACGCTGCCTGGAGCAATGCAGTCGCCACATCTCCGAGTTCAGACCAGCAAGAGAATTTACACGCAAAAATGACGCGGCCGATGCAAGTTTACGACGTGCCCATCGCATCCATCCGGCCGGTAGCGTCGGTTCCCACAGAACACGTCACCTGCGGAATGGTCGCGGAGCACCAGGTGCTGCCGCTTGCGTGCCCAGACGGCTCTGCAATCGAGGGAATCAGCTTCGCCTCCTTCGGCACTCCCAACGGCAAATGTCCAGGCGAGCTCACCAAGGATCCGAAGTGCGATGCAAGTTCCACCGCCGAGATTGTGAGAAAGGCTTGCGTCGGGAAGAAGTCTTGCTCCGTGATAGCTGAATCAAGCTCTTTTGGTGATCCGTGCTGGGGTGCACCCAAGGCCTTGGCTATAGAAGTTCAGTGTCCGCCAACTCCGGCTACTTCCCCAAATCCGCCCCAGCCCGTTCCGAGGAGCTTTATCGCAGACTTCGGGCGTGAGTTCCAGGGGGGCTTGAAGTTGGCGGTGCAGGATGGCAAGGCCGGCACAAACGTGCACATATCGTGCGGCGAGGCGCTCAAAGACAATTCAGTGCAGAGCACTTGGGGATGGGAATTCAATTGGACTCTGCGTGATGGCGCCCAGGTTTTGGAGCAGCACAAGTACATGGAGTGCCGCTTCGTGTCTTTTTATTTCACGGGCGTTCAGGCTCCACCGAATTTCTCCTTGAGTGCTTGGAAGACTCATTATGAATGGGACGATGCGGACACCCACTTTGACTCCAGCAATTCTAGACGCTTCGCGTATCCCCACCAGCCCGTCAAGAAACGACGCCCAGGCGAGTAGAGGGTCGTCCTGAGGGGCTTTTCGGCGTCTTGGGTGTCTCGGGGGGGCCTCTGTGGGCCGTTCGGGATCCTCTTTGGGGCCTCCTGGGGGCCTCTTGGGGCCTCTTGGGGCCATCTTGGGGCCTTTGGGGGCCTCCTGGGCGCTTCTTGGGGCCATCTTTGCCCCCTCAGGAGGCCAACATGGGGCCAAATTTTCAATAAAATCGATGATTTTGGCTTCCTCGCCGAGGCCGTTTTGGACGCTCTGACCGCTCGCGGCCCCCCCCGTCCAGGTCCACGGGAAGGGGGTAGGGGGAGGGGTAAACCCCTCCCCGAAGGGAAAGAGGGAGGGAGGGGTGGAAGAGGAAACGCCTTAAACCACCGACGCCCAGAGGGCTGGTGGGATTGCCTCGATCAGGGAAGTGGACAGCACACAGAGGAAGCCAGTATGAGACATCTTGGGATTTCTTGAGCCATCTTGGAGGTCATTTTGGGCTCTCCGAGGCGCTCTTGGAGTCATCTTAATCAGTGCCCCCCCCAAGAGGCCAACATGTGGCTAAAACCTTAGTGCAAACAATGGTTTGACATTATCGCCGAGGCCTCTGGGAGCACCTTGGGTGCCTCTGGGGGGTCTCTTGGGGCCTCTTGGGGGTCTCTTGGGGGCCTCCTGGGGGCCTCTTGGGGGGCCTCTTGGGGCCATCTTGGGGCCATCCTGCGGCCTCTTGGGGCATCCTGGGGGCCTCTTGCGGCCATCGTGGAGGAAATCGATCAAAGAAGAGGGGAGCTTTAATTAGCGCTGCCCCCTCAGAAGGCCAAAATGGGGCCCAAACCATAGTACAATCAATGATTTTGGCTTCCTCGCCGAGGCCGTTTTGGACGCTCTGACCGCTCCCCGCCCCTCCTGTCCAGGTCAGTGGGGAGGGAGTAGGGGGAGGGGTAAACCCCTCCCCGAAGGGGAAGAGGGAGGGGTGGAAGAGGAAACGCCCTAAACCACCGACGCCCAGAGGGCTGGTGGGATTCCACGCTCAACAGCGTGTTTGAGCTGATGCGCTACACTCTGCAGGCAGGTGTGCTGGACACATACACCGACAGCAACACGAGGGAGCGCAGGCCGTACGAAGCCGACGGCTTCATCGCCGCTGCAGCCCGCATCTTGGTCCAGCGTGAGTACATGTGGCCAAGGCACTCTCACGCATGGGTGATCCAATACCCGACTTCGCCTGTGGAGTGGAAGCAGCTGACACCGTTCTTGGGCTGGCAGGACTACATGGCCACAGGTCAACCAGACTTGGCGAGGGCTTTCACTGAGACGATGTACGATCGTACCATGATCTCCTACCTTGAGAATGGCACCGGCATCTTAGACACATCCAAGATGGGACAGCATATTGTGGATTGGATGCCCAAAGGACGTGAGGAGGACGAGACCGTTGGTCTCGGGGAGTTCACGGCCAGCAATCACCACTCTGTGAGCAATGCTTACTGTGCGCACGGCTTGGAGCTATTGTCCAAGATGATGAAGGCCGCGGGCGACGACGAGAAGGCTGCGGACTTCGGAAAGCAGGCCTCCGACCTGAAGCAGGCCATCACGAAGTACATGTGGAACGGAACGGCCTACTGCGATGGTGTGTGCAGTGAGGTCGGCGGCAAGTCTTTGATCATGTCCAACATGTTCACGCTATTCTTCGGCATGGTACCTCCGGAGAATATTCCATCCGTTTGGAAGACCATCAAAAATTGGGGATTGGAGGAGATAGGTGATTATGGCGCATTCTTCTACCTAGGTGCGTTGAGTAGCAGCTACTATGCCCCGCTCTTTTCACTTCCAGACGATGGATCCGCTGTCTTGACAGCGCTCACTAAGTGCGACAAGTATTCTTGGTGCTCTGGGCTTAGAGACGACAACCTTACCATGACGCGCGAGTCTTGGCACGACGGCACATACTCGCACCCGTGGGGCACAAGTGGAATGGTCGGCTTCTTCTGGGGTATCCTAGGTGTCCACCAAACAGCACCAGGCTTTGCTTCTGCGACGATCCGTCCAAAGTTGGGCAGCCTTACCCACGCAGAGGGTACGGTGCCCACGCTACGTGGCTACATCAAGGTCAAGGCGCAGCCAGCATCCGTGGACGTGGAGCTGCCCTGCAACGTCGACGCGACGCTGTGCCTACCACGTAGCTCCGCCGACAAAGCCATCGCCAACGTGGAGTCCACAACGCTCCTGCTCGACGGTGTTACAGTGACGGCGGTCCAAGATGGCAATCATATCTGCGCTAAGCAGCCGGTGACTTGTGGTGCTGGCGGAGCGGCGCGTCGGCTCACATCGTCAGCCCGTGTTCTCTTCACCTGAGATGCCGCAGCTGGGTCGCTCAGTTGGGTCTCGTCGAGATGTCGACGCTATTCGTCGACAAAGACGATGTAGTTGCGCACTGGCCTGGCCTGGACCCCGCGACGACGGCGATTCAGCGATATTGGCGTACATATATATATATATATATATATATATATATATATATATATATATAATGTCGGAGTGTTGGGGCCCCCGGCCCCTCCGGGACAGAATGACAAATGGGGCCACCCCCTGGGTAACCCCATTTAGCCCCCGGAGCCTGGGACCTGTTTTGTGCCCGTTACGGGCTGGTCTCACCCCCTGGAACGCTCCATGGACGGGCCTATATACCTTCCGGACGGCCCAAGATGGCTTCAAGACGGCCCAAAAGGCTCCCAAGACGCTCCAAGAGGCCCCCAAGAGGCCCCCCAAGAGAGCCCCAAGAAGCACAAATCGTCCCATTCCCTTCGGAAAACGTAGATTTTTAGCATATTCGCCTCTTGGGTTTTCACAGCGTCCATGATGGCCCAAGAGGCTCCCAAAACGGCCCAGGAGACACCCAAGAGGGCTCCAAGACAGCCCAAGAAGGGCCCAAGACGGCCGAAGAGGCCTCCAGGACGGCCCCAGAGAGTCCCAGAGCAGGAAAATCAAGTTCAAATTTCGAGCCTTCGGCCCCAGGAGGCACCCAAAGGCCCCAAGACGTCCCAAGAGGCCCCCAAGAGGCCCCCCAAACATCCCTAAGAGGTTCCCAGGAGGCCCCAAAGAGGCCCCCAAACTGCCTGCAATATACTTCCGAGAGGCTTCGAAAATGCATCCAAGACGCTCCCCAAGAGGCACCTAAAATTGGCTCCAATATGCTCCCAAAACGTATACGTTTCATACAAAAGTGCTGCAAAGGATATGTTCTTTCATGGATTTCACGCTCCCTGATGGCGCCCCAGAGGGCCACGCGGGGCCAACTTCTTTGATTTTTGCTCGGTTGCTGAAGGGTTTCCATGTTGCCCCCGTCTAGAGCTTCCTGCGATCCAACACAGCCCAGGCGGCTCCGACGACCGCCCTGAGGCACCTTCTGCATCTCTCCCTCACGCCCAAGCCCGCCCACGAGCGCCCCGACAGCGCTACACAAAACGGCCAGGAGGCATCCAAGAGAGGTTCAGAACGTACCCAGCACGAGGAAACCAGGTCGCCACGACCCCGAACCTGCCTCCCCAAGAACTTCTGGAGGAGCCCAAGACGGCCCAAGAGGGCCCCGAGAGAGCGCAAGATGGCCCGCGCGCGCCCGAGATGGCCCAAGAAGGCTCTTAGGTGACCTTAGGAGCCCAGGAGGTCCCGAGATGGATCCAAGATGGCCCCAACAGGTCACACCAGGGGCCCAAGAGGACACCAACATTCCCAGAAGAGGCCCCCAAGCGGCCCCCTGGAAACCCCAAGAGGCTTGAAAACCTCGCTCAACCAAGAGGCACCCGAGCAGCACGCCCAGATACCCAAACAGGTGTGACACGCCTCTGGCCACAATCCCAGCACAGTGGCAGTACGAGCCCAAGGCTCATGAGGCTTCCAAGAGGCCCAGAGAACTCTCTCAGAGGTCACGCGTCTACACTCTAGACGATGTTTCCACAGCGGGAACATCGATGCGGACTCCACCACCAAAACCGTCCCTGGGATGCGATACCGGGCGTCGGACGCCTTTTCCGCAGTCGGCACTCCCAAGTCCCACGTGCTCTGCTTGCTGCGATTCGCCGTCGCTGGCAATTGGTGCCTTCGGGTTAGTGCCCAAGGAAGGGGGAAGAGGAACGGGAGACGAGGACCAGGAGGACGAGAAGCAGTAGGAGGAAGAGGAGGAGGAGGAGGAGGAGGAGGAGGAGCGCTCGCATTCGTAAGGGGAAGGGCCGTGCCGACAGCCGTGCCGTGTGTCGCGGGCGTCAGAGGTTGAACCCTCCAATCCCTCCTCCTTCCTCATCGTCTCCAAGGTGACCCGCGTCGTTCCCCCAGCCGCGAAAAACGGTCAAGGGGAAGTGACCGGGGCGGGCGTCAGAGGTTGAACCTTCCAATCCCTCCTCCTTCCTCATGCTATCCAGGGTGACCCGAGTCGATCCCCCGGCCGCGAAGAGTGGTCAAGGGGGAATGACAGGGGCGGGCGTCAGAGGTTGAACCTTCCAATCCCCCTTCTTTCCTCATGCTCTCCAGGGTGACCCGAGTCGATCCCCCAGCCGCGAAGAGTGGTCAAGGGGGAGTGACTGGGGCGGGCGTCAGTGGTTGAACCTTCCAATCCCTCTTCCTCCCTCATCTTCTCCAGAGTGACCCGGGTCGCTCCCCCGGCCGCGAAAAGCCGTCAAGGGCGAGTGACCAGGGCTGGCGTCAGAGGTTGAACCTTCCAATCCCTCTTCCTCCCTCATTTTCTCCACGGTGACCCGCGCCTGCTTCCAAGAGGCTTCCGCCACCACGTCGACTTCCATGGCTCATTCAATGACCGCGTCTGTGCTTCGTACGCAGTTCCACCAGCGCTTGCTCCAGCCACCGTTTCGCGAAACACCTTTCGATGTTCCATATTAATTATTTGATCCGACGAATCTGCACGCCTGCATTGTTACACCCTTTCTGCCAATGCTTCGGTCGACCCCAACGCCATCCCTGAATCTGGCACGCCGCCTTCAACATGCCTCAAACATTGCATGGGCGTCTGCACAAACCGCTCCGCCGAATCACCCCATCAAACCAACGCGCTGCACTCCATCCAACCACAGCGTTTTGACGTCGCACGTCCATCCCAACAACCACCGGCATAGCCCACTCCATCACCACACTTGTGCTTCTTTTGGCACTCCAACTTCGCCTGCTCTTGCCACCTTTTCGCAAGGTTCCGTTCAACCCTACCTCCGTGACACAAGAGTGGACTAATCTGCGCGCGTGCATGCAGGCATTGCCTTGCGTGGTCCATTCCATCAGCATACTTGCGTTCTCCAGACAGTTCCACCGACGCCTGCTTCATCCACCATGTCGGAAGATTCCGATCGACGCTCCACGAAACCTGATCAGACGAAGCTGCTCGCGTGCCCGACTGCATGGTCACATTCCTTCTGCAAACGATTGAATCACCCACGAATGCCCTTCTGCCATCCCTGCGCCCAGTCCGCAGCTTTGAATGCCGGAAAACAGTGCATGACCGCTTCAACGGGCCGCTTCACAAAAGCACCCCGTCCAACACACCTTTCGCCTGCTCTGACACACCTGCGCGCCTGCACGTTTCCTTCGTCGCGGGTCTAACCCCACAGCGATTCGCATGGTTCCTTCCATCACCACGCCTGTGCTTCCTACGCCTTCTCTCTCTCTCTCTTTCGTGCTCTCTCTCTCTCTCTCTTTCTCTCGCCCTCCATTTCACCCCGCTTTACTCTCGCGTTCTCGAGAAGGGTGTCTATATCTGACGCGTGTCAATGCAGATTGCACCAATATCGTTCCCTCTGTTTCTCTCTAGCGTGCTCTCGTTCTGCCACCGAGGATTTCGGCTCAAGCGCCCGGCGCCCGCGCCCGAAACCCACCTGCCCGACGCGAGGATGCCGCCCAAGTGCCATGGACCCCTGTGCGACATAGCTGCCGCATCTGGTCGGCCACGCGCTCGCGCGCAAACCACTTATGATGGTATTTGCCCCGACTGCCACCACCACAGCAACGGAACTTCCAAGAAAAGCTTCCGCTCCGGTGCCCGCCACCGCTGCAAGAATTGGCCGGCGTGCGAAAAATCCAAGCAGCATCGTTGCGATGGTTACTGCGCTTGTTGCTTCGCAAAAATCAAGGGCGAGGCGCTCACGCAAAAATGACCAGCATCTGAACTGCGCCCTGATCCATCTGCACCCGCACGAGCGTCCGAACCACCGTCCAAACGCCCTCGCCTGCAGCCTGCTCCCAGTCCCCATTGCGCGAGTCATCCAAAGACCAATCCGGATTTGCCTTGTCCGGAAGCTCACGACGAACTCACGGCTGCCCTTCTTGTGGCAATTCCATCATGTTTGGCAGCAGATCGTCCCAAACATACTTGCGTCAACCATCCGATATGTTCTGCACGATCCTGCCGTTCCATAGGGCCCAAATCAATCCCCAAGCATGCCATGGAATCGTGCCAACATGACCCAATCCTGCTCGTTCCCTGGATGTGCTCTGCGGGTCGCTCCACGTATCGGCAAATCGGCCGCGCCGACCTTGTGCGCCACGCACTACGCAGATCCCAGCCAGAATGTCTCGCGCGAGTGGTCCTTCTGTCGCAACGCCGAGGCTGGTTGCCGGCTTTTGGCCCTGCGCCGCAGCGGCGGTAAATGTTATCGATGTTCTGACGGCCATGTCCCATGCAAATTCGCTTTGGTCGGATGCCCGCAGCACGTGCCAGCAGGTCTTGGGAAACGATTGGCCTGCAGATCAGCTTCCGGAGCTTGCCATTTCAATCCCGATTCCAACATCCAGTGCGTCACCCCGTGGTGCACAGAGAAACCGTCCTCGAACGCTGATCGCCGTTGTCGTTTGTGTGCCGCGGGTTTGTTCCCATGCCACAACAAGTGTTCTCGACGATCCATCCCGAGCACAGCGGGATATTGCCAAACACGTTACGCCAACCAACCGCCACGAAGTGGCACCCAAGCTATTCGAGCGTCTGCCCTTGCACCCGACGCTGACACCTGTAAAACGCCACGGTGTCGCAACAGCCGTGCTGTCAACGACATGTGTTATCCCTGCGCCCATGGCCTCGTCCCATGTGCCACGCCTTTGTGTCCGATGAGAGCTCCCATGGGGAACGACAGCCTGTGCTATCTTTGCAAACCACCGCCTGTGCTGCCACGTGCTCCACGGACATGTGCAACAACATCGTCGACACTGCTGGTGACACTCACTGCACCCTTTGCATCACGAGTTGTCCACCATGCACCAACAGTCTGAGGTGCCACGGGCGCACGGCCCCTGGACCGCGAGGTCTAAGTCGAGGTTGTCTCTCATTGCCTGCATCTTCGCCAGGGGTGCCAGCTGCACCGTCT